GAAAGTCAAGTTGAACATAAAAACGGCCGACAACTGCGTTTGAGCCATTAAAGCGGTTCCTGGGCACCTCATTAAGCGTTTCTCCTTGGAGGCATGTCGTCCTTTCCACTGGATCAGGTTTTCAATAGACATAAGATTGCAAGTCAAGGTTGGTCCGAGGCTTAGGTTTTTGCGGTAAGTGTCGTGGTGAAATTTTGGCGGAGGTGGAAAAGTTAGATTTTGAAAATTTAGGGTTGTGGCTAGGAGTTACTCTAGGAATGATTTAGTTATGGTGGGATTTTTTTTGAAAATCGGGATAAGAAAGACAAAATCATAAAAAATCTAAGGTTTGTTGGGGTCTGATACCAGATGATACCATTTTAGGGCTTCTAGGTGTTTTGGATGTTGGTTCCATTGGAAGGTGGGGGTGGAATAGTAAGGGAATGAATGCCTGCGAGGTCTATGGCATGTGGATGGGGATACACGTCGTTTGGCGGTTGTCCCTGCTCAAAAGAGTGAGAAGAACCATAAAATTACATGGCAAAGGCAGCGAGGAGGTTCACCATCTGTTCCTGAGCAAGATACACAAACATACTACTTGCAAAAGGAAGATAATACAATATTTTTAAAGGAGGAAATCAGATACTATAATCTCCATAATATCCAAACAAAGCAAAAGTTCTCAAAACAGCAAAATCCACACATAAATGGGTTCCTAATAGCAAGAACCCTGAATGACATAAGAAAAGGAAAAAAAAAGTAGGATTAAAATCAGGAATCAGCGGAATTTTCCGTGACATTGAAAAATCACCCGTCTGTGGAATGATTCTGCGATCCGGGTTGAATCTTGGGACCCGTATGAAGCTCCCACACCAGCTACCATATTGTTAATGTTATTTTAGTATTTTTTCTGTCAAATGAAAATTGAAATTGCTTTCTATTTTGGTTTGCAATTTCATGGGCAGAGGTCTTAACTTGTGATAGCTTTTGCCAGCGTTAGAGACTATATTTGATATAGGTGAAATCTCAAAATGATCTTCCAACTATTTATATGTGTGGCCAATTTTGTCATAAGGTATCACATTTTGTTCCCACAAAAGAACTTTTCAGCTTTGTGATGTTTTTATTTTGGAACAAATTTAACTTCTCTTGATAACTTGGTCGTAATAGTACCATTTTCATAAAAGCATGTTGATGCGTGTTTTGTGGGTAAGAAGCCCTACGAAACAGTTTGCTTTTAATAATACAAGGCAGAGCAAAAATGCACTGCGGAGGTGGAAAGAGCATATATTTGCAAGGCACTACGAAACTGGATTCTGTTAACACTTCCTCTTTTTTCATTTAACGTTCCCAAATTCTCTACTTTTTGTTGATTTATTTCGCAGTTTCTTATGTATTATGGGTGGGTTTTGGTATTACTTTTTTTGTGCAGGATTTCACTTTTTTTGCAGCTTTTCTACTTTATTTAATTTTATAACTCTTGGCTTTTTACTCTGTAGAAGTGCATTTCCAATTCTTTTTTACTTTATTATTTATTTTACTCAATGTGAAAAGCATTTTCTTTTCTCTTTCTTTTTTTCACTTAATTTACCTGTTTTTAATTCTCATGCCTCATCATGAGTTAATGTTTTTCTCGATACTCATATTCACAATGCATGATTTTTGGAAACCTTTCCTTTTAGTTACTTCTTTTCCAGTGATTTGTTCGGCAAGCTTTATTTTCTATTCTTTCAGCTTGAAATTTTTTTTTCCATGGCAGCTTGTCTTTCGAACAGTTGGCTATTCTGGTGCGGATATTCGCAATCTAGTCAATGAAGCGGCAATAATGTCTGTAAGTTGAACATAGCTACATATATTGCTTAATAGTTGCTCATATTTTTGTACAACGTTGTTTATCAAACTTACCCTTAATCTAATGGTTTTTTTTTTCTTAGCGTTAACAATGTCATTAGTTGTAACTTTGTTGGTTGGATGCGAAAATATCTTCTTAATACTGGATTTCTAATGGAAATTGAGAAGTACGAGTGGTTTTTAAGTTACCTGAATATTTTCTCTCAGTATTGACGATTCCAGAGCCTTTGTTTCATATATATTTAGTACCTTATGTCTGTTATCTATTTCAGGTTATATGTTGGAGTCTAGCTTGGCCTTCACATTATAGGCTCAAAAAATTAATGTTTGACTGTTTTGAGAATGCTTGTTGTTCCCAGTTAAATTTTTAATAGGTAAATTAGATTTTAGACGAGAAACTGCTTGGAAGTTTCACCCTCATTTGTTAGGATTTTATATTCTCACACTAAATTTTTGATAGGCGCATGCCTTTGTGGTCAAGTATCCCTATGGATGATGAGAGAAAATTTTAGGTTAAAACTAGTTCGATGCTAAGTGCTTAGTTTATAGTAGCAATAATTTTGATTTTAGTTTATATTAGTTAGTTGCTCGGCGCTAAGTGCTTATAGGTTTTAGCTTATTACGTTTAGCTTAGAGCACATAGTGAGGATGATGAACCCAATCAAGATTTCATATTTTTATTATTCCGAGTTATTGTGAATTAGTTTAGTCAGAGGAGTAGCTGACTCAACCTGATCAAGCAATTCTTTTTAGCGGCTATTGTGACCTCCAAAATTTCGAAAAGGCCCAACCTCTCTTTAAAAGAAAAAAAATGTATGTGAAGGAGGGAGTTTACTATGAGGTTCCTGGTCAAATTATAAGAAGGCAGATGAAATGGTAGTGACACGTGGTGTTCTGCATGCGATGCTGGTGCGGAGCCGGTCAAGGGGTTTCATACATTCGCTCTTTATGAGTTTATGTTAATCTTAAATTTGCTATCCTCAAAAAATGATTTTGGAGGTTGGATTAATTTTGATTTTAAGCTTTTGGTAATAGATTTTTCATTTAAATATTTTATAGACTTTATAATTTAAAAGTTTGATTTCTCCATAGACCCCCTCAACGCAGCCATTGTCGAGGTTTAGTCATTTGATTTGAACATTGTCAACTTTGTCTGTCAACTTTGTCTCACTTACAAAGGACTATATTCATCATATGTATATAATTTGAGTTTTAGAAATAAACTTTGAAACTTGATTTTGAAAATAGACCTCTTCGGTTGAAATTCACCATTAATACGACCTTCATCAGGGAAAACTATTACTTAATTATCATTAAAAGCAATAGTTCTGTTGACTCCAGTCGTCGCAAGGGGGATTAGACTTACCTATTTTGAGTCTATCTTTTCAACTTCGATCCTAATTAGGAGGAGGATCAGACTACTTAGTAGGGGCTTGATTTTGTTAACTCCAATCTGTATAGAGAGTAGGCTTAGACTGATCAAAGTTGGGACTTACGACATTGTTCTATAGGCAAGACGTCCTAATTAAAAGCAAGTGTTATTTAATAGATTTTAACTTGATATTTGAAAAATGAGATTTTATAAAACTTTGAAATTTGTGAACATTTCTTAAGACATTTAAATTTGTCTTAAGATGCAATTAACCCGTGTAGTATTCTCAGACGCTTAGAGTTTTTTCAAAAAAATTCAAATAGGCATCATAGCATATGCAAGTGTTTTGAATTGGCTCGTTTGAACTGATTTCAGGAGGTTTGCATGTCCTTTAAGGCGAATCGTCATTTAGCTTAAGCTTATTTTTGTCCCGCATAGCATTCTCAGAGGCATAAGCTTAAGGACTTAGGGTGATCGCCAGAACACATCCTGGAGATTTAGACTTTTAGGATTGAAATGATTTTTATGGGATTTAATTATTATTTATATAAGTGTAATATTATTGAGATGAATGCAAATATTTAAATTTTAAGCTCTTAGTTTTGTCTTCTGTCTGCTTGTGTATTTGGGGTTGTGGATCCGATGGTGTTATTTGAACTTATATGCATTAAAACAATATTAATTGGGCAGCAAAATCATTTTTTATATGCATTAAAATCTTGGCATTTCATTGGGCAGTGAATTTTGTTTGCTTTTGAATTTTTTAGTAAAAGTGAGCCCACAAAGGCATCTCTTCCTTTCTATAAAAGGGGAGTCTATATGGCTTCATTTCATTCCATTCAAAACCTATTCCTAAGGGTGCTCTAAGGAGTCTAAGCACAGGACGATTCTGTTGATATTCTGAAAGCAGCGCCCCCAAATTTCCAAACAAGTTCAAAATCTATTTACTTTTTAAATGTGTTTATTTCGTTTCTTTTCTAAGTTATATTCATTTTAATTAAAGTTCATAGAAATCTTAATTAAAATTTTAATTAATTTCTGTTTAAGTTTAATTTAGATTATGTTGCAAGTCCCTTATTATGTATTTTAGTTTGCCTCAAAATTTTGCAGATTTTCGGCAGCTTTGTGTTGTCGTCCCTCGGTGGGGGGATACATATGAAGTCTTGTTCTGTCCACCGCACTATGAAAAACTTGTGTTAGTGATGTAAACACTACTACCTAGTTTTCAATGCCTACCACACTACGAAAAATGTGTTTAGAGTTTCTGCATTCACATATTTTTTCACAGCGCAACAAAAGGGTGTATGGGTACTTAATTTTTTAATTGTTTACCACGTCGCAAGTGTTGTGTATGAGTTTAGACCCACCATGCTATAAAAAGTGTGTTTAGGGTTCTGCTAAATGCACCAAACACGCCACAATATACATTTTAAAGTTGTTTGAACTATCCGCTGGGTTGCGATCATCACATTCTAGTTTCAGTCTACCATGCTACAAAAAGTCTGTATAGGATTCCTTTTGTTGCACCAAGTGAGTCGCATTAGGTGTTTCAAAAGTGTAGCTTGCAAAGTTTGTACTTTCCATGTGATAAGATGACGATTTTAGCACACCTGCATAAATTTTGTGACATCTATGCATGCATACGCATGCAATATTAAATTAATTTTTAATTAATTTATGTTTAAGTTTAATTTAAATTATGTTGTAAGTCCCTTATTATGTATTTTAGTTTGCCTCAAAATTTTGCAGATTTTCGGCAGCTTTGCGTTGTCGTCCCTTGGTGGGGGGATACATATGAACTCTTGTTTTGTCCATCGCACTATGAAAAGCATGTGTTAGTGATGTAAACACTACTACCTAGTTTTCAATGCCTACGACGCTACGAAAAATGTGTCTAGAGTTTCTGCATTCACATATTTTTTCACAGCGCAACAAAAGGGTGTATGAGTGTCGGCGCTTAAAAGGGGAAAAGAGTTTAATGTTTGGGGGTCGCCCGTAAGAAGCTGTCGGCAGCCGGAATCGAAATCCCGTCACCCGCTTCGGAAGGACTTTTTAATTTACGTATATATATATAATTTTAGAAAAATATGAAATCAAACTGACCTCATATTTTTCACACTTTAAATGAAAGAGCACTCTACCTCAAATCCTGTATCTATCCCGAGGGATAAACACAAGACTTGAGGGTGAG